CAATTGGTGGTCCTCTAGTACAATCTGATCAATGCAAATTGCCCGGGCATGTGACAGTATTTGAGTCCAGCAACCATATGATTCTGTGACTCGAGGGTTAGCAGGACAGACATTTAGTCATCTATGCAACACAACCAGCAGCCAAAGAAGTGGTGGCCCTTTAGGGCTCGTTCACACCAGATGCAGTTTGCTCAGTTTGGCAGCTGCGTCAAAAATCGGGTCACAATGCTTTGCAATGGGATTTTCGGGTGCTCTGTTCACACCAGTGCAGTCTGTGCCGATGCAGAAAGAGAAAATACTGCTTGTCCTATTTTAGCGGCACCTGTGTGCGACGGAACGCATCAAAAAACACATACAATGCACTGGGCTGCACCTGAAGGCCCATTTTAAGCTAGACAAAAAAAGTCAAAATCGCGGTAAAAAGACAGCAAACCGCATAGCACTGAAGCTGCGCAGACGCACGCCGTTGTGATGCAGTTCTGGTGTGAACTAACCCTAACAATTCAAGGCACTTTAAGTCTCAGTATAATAACGGGAGGATTCCGTTTGGCTCTTACGGCCAACACCTCCACATGCTCTTTCCTACAGATTTAGACTTGCGACCAGAAAAAACACAGATCTTCAAAATATAAAATAAATACAACATTCCAGCATCTTGGCAGGAGCATCACTTTCACTACAATGTATAATCCAAATCAACTACTGTTTACACTTTAAAATGCATCTAAATCCTAGAACAAAAACATTGGGGGGGAATTGATCAATACTGGAGCAGACAGAATCTGAAGCAGTCGCCCACAGCAACCAATCAGCATCTCTCTTCAGTTTGCCGAGTGGCTGAAGTGCAAATCTGCTCCAGATTTTGATAAATTCCTCCCATTATATATGCAGCTTTCCAGTTCTTAGATGTGGAGGCTGCATTCGTTCTCTTTTTTTCATCATCTTTAATTTTCAACGGGTGATCCTGCCAGCAACACAGTTTCTAACATGAAGTGACAACGCTTATTTACCTTACTCTAGCTATAGAGGAGCGATGATGTCCGCCTAGCACAGGAAATGTTTTAGGACTACAGAATGCCTCCACCTCTCCATAGCATGGGGCTCGTTCTGTAGCCCACAAAGAGCTGGAAACAATGCTAACTGACATTCAGCAGAACCATATAGCACAGGAAGTTATCAGCTCATTTATGGAAGGGCCAATAGATATTTTTTGGCACTTACCAAAACAGATAAATATACAATTGACGGTGATTTTTAACACACCAACAGGGTGCAAAGAAGAGAAGTGGATTGTTCGGGTGTTACGTGCTCTTTTTATTGCATAGAATGCAGCCTATTTACTATGAACCACTTGACATAACTGTGCCACCTGGACCCCTCTTGGCCCTTTGTGTAGTGGTATAGGAACAACAAGGCCAGTCAATATTGAGGAACACACAACAGCTTCTATATCCAACATCATGTCCTCTCAGAAAGACAATATGAAGGGTTAACTGATGGAAACGCAAAATTATAAGCATGATAATATTGTTCCCCTTTGGGGTCCACAGATCGATGACGTCTTACCTTATATAACTTGAGGCTGGCTTCATGCCTTGCGTTCACAGTGTGCAAGCGCAGCTTCTCCAGGCTATTGGTGTAATAGTCACAGGCATTGCACTTCAGATGCACCGGGTTGCCAATGGCAACACACTTCAACCTCCACTCATTGGCTTTGCCTCCCTCTTTGATGTGAGCCACCAACTGGTACTTCTGTACGTGTTTGTCAGTTTTGCAATGCAGCTGAAAATTGGCCTTTAGTTGCGTGTTGTAACGACAGAGATTGCACTGGTAAGAATCCCCCACCACGGACTTCCACTCCTCCTCCGGCAGGTTGCGCTCGGCTCCCATGTGCAGGCCCAACATGTCCAAATTGTCAGTCGTGAATCGGTTACATACGGCGCACTGAAAGAGTTTCAGGGAAGGGTCGTTGGTTTGAGTAAAACTCTCGCCCAGGTTCATGAGCTCTTCCGAAACCAGCTGTCCGCCGCTCAACCGCATATCCAACGGGATTTCGCCACCCACTAAGAGGGGAAAGAAAAAGACACAGATGAGTCAAAAGAACAAAACACGTATTACTGACTGGTTCAGCTGCACTGGATCTGAATTTAGCATTTAGGAACCAGTCAGTCCAATCTACTAGCCATGAAGAAATCTTAGAGTCAATCCGTTAAAGCAAATGATTAAATATTTCATTACTGGAGCAAAAACTAGCCTCTGAATTTGCAGAAAAAAATATCAATAACGATACATAGATTGTTTCCAGCCATCTCCAGATATGTGACCTATGCCAAGTCACATCGCATGCCCTGTGTTGCACCTAGGAGCTACAGTGCCAGATTTGCATGTCTCCACCTTCACAGAGACAAACTCTGCAACCCCAAAAACAAGTCTATTCATTCAATGGATAATTTGTTTTAAGTAAGCTTAAGCTTACATTGTCTTCTGTTTGCCAATACTGCCGTACTATCAATTCTCCAACTCGTCGAGACCTCCAACTCCAGTCAGCGCGCCCGCGCAGCCACCCAACTGAAGTATCAAGCTCTACAATCTGCGGCAGTGTGTCTGCGCGGGCACCCGATGCCACAAGCACAGACATGAGTTGGAGAACTCGATCACAATTTAGAAGCCACACAGCAACTGGAGAAGTCAACAAGGATTGCAAAAAACTGATGGCTAGCGCAGGCATAGCGGCGCCATTTCGTCGAGATCTACAACGGACATGACGTCACCAGTTGCAGATCTCAACGAGTTGGCCACCTTGACAGAACACCGTAACAAATTCATTTTGGACACTATGCCATTGGCAACAATACTATTTTTTTGGACAGTTGCCCCAAATTCCTATTCCCTTCACTCAAGTAATTGGCTCAATGCTTTTCCCAGCAGTCTGCACAGGGCCTGAGGTCATCCCTGGCAGCAGTAGCTTGATCTTTGTAGAGTCTTTCAATCATTCTCATATCCTATACCTTAAAGAATGCTGGGGCTGCAGCCTTTTTATACAACACCGAGCCTGATCAGGTGGCTCTATTGAAGGTAGGCCATCCCACTTAGCAGTCAGTTTCAGAAAAAGCTGGCAAAATCTTAATTCATTTCCATAGCACAGAAGCAGATAAAGATGCAAATTAAGGTTGGACAACTTTAGAGATCATCTAGAGGGGACGGGTGACCAGTTATACCACCACCATAAAAACCTGTAATAAATTTGGGTCTATGGGCATCTGTATTAATAAAAAATAAAAAAAACACTCTAGCAGGAAAACCAAGCGATACCCTCAGTTTTGGGTGGGCCGACTCTTCAAGAAGCAAGGGCACATTTCATCTACTGGACAACAGACTTGCGATTGTTAGGAGCCATCTGTTTTTCTTGTAGACATATAGGTCTGAAGGCTAGAGGCATCTGCCTGACCCTGAAACACAATTCAGGAACCCACCCACCTATGATCACCTAACGAAACAATAAATGCATTCTACAAATCCTTCCCGTCAGTGGCAGACCTGCAGAGGGACCCTTGTGTCCGTTGGCAACGACAATCCATAAATAATTCCAGTGATCTATGCTTGCAAATAACTAAAATACCAACCCTGTCTATACAGGAAAGTCCCTGATGAATCAAATAGGACAGCCAGGTAGAATCTGTAGTTGTCCTCAAAATGTCACTTAGGTTCAGTAGCACGGTGACTACGTTGCCATTTTCTTTGCCTGCAGCAGTAGGGTCCTGGGATGGATGGTTGGATTCCCGCTATGGTTCAATGGACTTAGTAAATTATGGTGAAATCTTGTATATACACAAGAAAAAAAATCCGTTTTAAAAAGGAGTCTTGTAATTGTGTCGGATATCAAGTCAAAGACCCAGGGATTTTTATGTTAACAGTCACTACTGCAGTGGCTTATATCAGGGGTTATTTTTTAAGTTTTTTTTTTACATTTCGGCAGGAAATAAAAATGCCAAGCTACATCTGAATACAGCCTACCTGTATCACAATCTTCAGATGTTCAGGAGAGCAAAATAAACCCCGATAGAACTTTAGTTGTAAATCAGATAAATATAAAGTCTCAGTGTTAATTTTCTTTAGAAAGCAGCCACAGCCGGTGTAGAAAAGCCTGTACCCTGCCAGCAACCCTTGTCTTTGTATGACAGCAGTGGTCTCTAAGCATTCCATGAATCTTACAATCCCTGCTGCATGGAGAGCTCTAGCTCTGCGGAGGGTGTGTTGGACCTCTGCAGAGAGACCACTGCTTCTACAAAACAGAGTAAGTAACCTTCTCTACAACAGGATGTATGGTCCCCTAATGTACCAAGGCATAATCATTAAAATGCCAATGGAGTGGGATTCTACAAAACCACCTGCAATACTGCAGGGATAACAGATGCCCAGACAATGGAAGGGTGGGAGTATTATAAGAAACCCAAATATTTGCATTTATAAATCTAGCTTTCTCTACATAACCAATACATACAATTAAATATTTAAAGAGGTTCTCCAGAGAAACCTCTAATGATTTGCTGCTCTGAGATCATACACTTCCACTGCAGGTCATACACAAGGCCTGGTTCAGTGAAGGCAGCAAATGGAGACTCATGAACCAGCTTATATAGGAGGACCATACATGATAATAATTGCCAACCAATATTTACAGTTACACATCCAAGCATACCGATTATAGAAGTAACCCAGACTTCAAGCATACCGATTAAAGAAGAAGTAACCCCATCAAAGTGGGACTCCAGTCATAAGATTTGTTTTATATGATACTATATACAGTGGTACCTGGGTTCAAACACTTAAATTTGTTCCACGATTCTGGTCGCGAACCGATTCAAAACGGTGATCAGACCGCGATCTCGACTAGAGGAAGCCGCGACCACGTGTCAGAGCAGAGAAGATGGCTGCGGTTGTGTTAGTCACGCGATGCTGAGTTCATAAACGGAAGCCAAATCTTGCCGAGTTTCTTGTTCGCGAGCAGAAGGGTTCGTAAACCCGAGGTACCACTGTATAAGGCGGAGAAGGGTTAACATTTCCACGTTTCATTGCCATCTTTTTCCGCCCCTCACTTTCTGCCCAGGAGGATTAAAACAGGAAAACGGACAGCAAAAGAACTTTTCCAGTTTGATCCACAACTAAGAAAAAAAAATTTTTTGAAGAGAACCTGTCCCCAACTTAAAAGCATTTCCTGTAACAGCACAGAACCACCAAGAATTTTAAGGGCTTATTTGCAATAATTTTTCATTTCATGAATAATAATTTTTGAAATTACAATGAGTCTTTGAACTTGCTAGAAGAATTGACTAGTCAGTTCCCTAGCACAGCACTCTCCCTCCTTGGAGGTCACAGTTCTGTCTTCTTCTGGGAGTGTCTAATTACTCTGTGCTGTCCCAGCTCCTCCTCCCCTCCCATTCCTACATAATCTTTTATATAGCTGCTGGGGGAGGTGGAAAGAGGAACACTATAGACTGTCGTTAAAGTGAAGCTCTCTTAGTCTGCTGACATCACATCCAATATGGCGGCACTCAGAAGTAGTCTGAGGCCTTTTAAAATGTCCACAAAAGGTGAGACCTGTACAGGAAAATAACATTCATTTAAATACTCATCGATCTAATGCACGTGTCAACCTCAAGGCCCAGGGGCCGAATCCGGCCCACCAGGCCATTTCCTAGACTTCTACCAGTGATAATCGAATGCAGAGGCAATAATGATAAAGATTAAGATACATTTATAAAGTCTTACAGGCCTTTTGAGGGCAACCATGATGTTGATGCGGCCCACGATTAAATTGAGTTTGACACCCCTGCTCTAATGGGAAGATTGTTGCTGACATCAATAGTCTGGTGACAGGGTCTCTTTAAGCTCTACAAAAGTTTCAACTGCCATTTTCACAAAGCAAGTCATAAAATTGCTCTACCTATTGTTTTGTGATTGGTTGTCTCAGCTGACAGGCAGCAAAAACATGCAAATCAATTAGCAGGTGAGGAGTTCTGTCATCGGCTTCAAGGAAAACTTTGACAAGATTTGACAGTCAACAAAACATCTTGGCAACTCATGGCCTTAGAAAAACATAACATTCATGTCTTTATGGCTGTAGCTTTCCACTCCACAGGCATTCACCCGTTTTCTCCCACTCCCTCCCCCCTCCAAATTTTATTTTTCAGTCCTCGGGACTTACCGACTGTGGGAGCCATCCCTGGCATGGGGCTAGTAGGGTCCAGCTGGAATCCTCCCATAATATACTGCGATTCATTCGTTGGGTTGTCCATCTTCAGGTTCATGTTTTGTGCTAGGTAAAAGTGGTAGAGATCAGCTTCAGCCGGGGTGGGCAGGCTGCTGATGCCTAAGTGCCGGTTGTGTTGGATTTGGGTCATGTTTTGCTGAAGCAGCATCATATTATGCATATGCTTCTCACTGGTCATGTGAATTCTCAGGTTCCTGGCAACATTGGTTTCGTAGTCGCACACTTCACAGCGCCAGGTTGGCTTCGTTTTTGGTTTGGTGGGGGAAGGGGCCCCACAGGAGTTGCTAATGTTGGAAGCAGCAGCAGCAGCAGCAGCTGCAGCGGCTGCAGTGGCAGCAGCAACCGCTACCCCGGCAGTGTGGCTGAAAACTTGGTCTGTCCCTCCATTTTGCAGGTTCTGCATGTTGTTCAAATGCTTGTCCGACTGCATATGAATACTGAGGTTGCCTTTGGTAGTGGTAGAGTAGTTACAGACCTCGCAACGGAAAGGTTTGTAACCACATGTGTAGCTCTCTCCCCGGGCAAGACGAGGATGAGGTTGACCAGATTTGCAGTAGCCACAGGAACCACCCGGTTCAGGGTGTTTTTCTTTCATGTGTGCTTCCAGCGTCTGCTGGTACTTGTAATGCCAGTTACACTTTGGACACTTAAGAGTCTTACAAGAGTTCCGAGAGTGCATCATAGTCATGTGTCCACCAAGTGAGCGCGATGAGCCCAGTACAGTGTCACACTTCGGACACTCCACCCCACTCCCAGAAGGGCATTCCCCTGTGCCAAGGTCGCAGGGGTTATCGGCATGCTGGTGGTGGGTGGCAAAGCTTCCTTCTTCTACCTCTGCACTTTCATTTGGTTCAGGTGCTGTGGCATTGTCCCTATTGGCACTTTCATCAACAAAGTCCAATTTTATCCCACCCTCCGCCATGCTGGCACCAACGCCATCACTGTTAAAGCTTAAATGGTTCCTCCTGTTTGCACCATCAAAGACAACAAAGGAAGAAGAACATGTAGGTGTGCCCCTTCCCATAGGCTGGGGCACGTTAGGCATTAAATTAGAAATACTTTGGTTTGTGAGAGCCAGGTCCTTTTTGCCGCTGCTCTCGGCAAACACCTCAGACTCCTCCTGAGGCCTGTCCACCAAGTGATCCTCAAGCCCACGTGAAAACATTGCTTTGCAGTCCTCCCCCTCCTCTTCCTCCTCCTCATCATCATCATCACCTTCCTCATCCATTTCTTCTTCTTCCTCCTCCTCACGTTCTAACCTTTCCGATATGCCGTCTTGTACTCCCAATGGATGCTTCTCAAGCTCTGTCATTTCAGATTCCTGGTTATAGGAAGGTTTGGTAAGGTCAGAGCCTAAAGAAACAGAGTTTATGGAGGCGCTGAAAGAAGAATTAGTCAACCCTCCGAGGTTAAGCAGAGTACTTTGGGACACCACGTTGGATTGCGCCTGCTCTGCCCCACTGGAAGTAGTGTCGCCATCTTTTAGAAGTGCTAGGCTAGCCTGCAGGGCTTCATCCCCTTCTACTCGAATGCCACTAAATTTGCCATAAAAACTATTAGCAGGTCCAGTAGAGTTGGCAGAGGAAACTAAAGGATGGGGAAAAGATTTGTTTTTTGGTTCCAGAAAACTAATAAGAGGTTCCTTATCTTTCCCAATCCCTTGAATGATGGCTGAAATGTTTTTGTTACTAAGAATCTTGCGCTCATCCTCGCTTAGAGTCATTCGATGGTCATGCACAGCATGGGTCACAAACGATCGGACATAGCCAAAGGAAAGTTTGCACAAAAAACACATTAGGATGGGTTTCCTCTTACCATACAGTACAAAGCCATCATATTTGGACAGATCTACATTGTTTGGGACATCTTTGGATACACAGGAGCTTTTGGCAGAACCATCGCTATTTAAGTAATCCTTGTTGCTTTTGTGCCGCACATCAAAAACTCGGAAGCTGTGCAGGACAGGGCTTATGCCCGTAAGGGTGGAGGTATCCAGAAAGGACTTGTCTGAATTCTCAAACCACTTCCTGAAAGAGGAGGCTATGTGAAAAGTGTTAATAATTTGTGGGTAAACGGGGCCTACAGAGGACGACTCCTCAGGCTTTCCCGTTGCATTGGGCAAGGAATTTTTGTAGAGGGAAAGAAGAGCCTCGCTGGGGGTACTGTCACAGGCTTCACCACTTTGGATCAGCTGGCTGACACTTTCCACTATATACGCAGAGCCATCGGGCTGGTAGACTATCTCACCAGCAAGGTTTTCCACATCACTCTCCTCCTCCTCCTCCCCTTCCTCACTATCACTTTCGCTTTCTTCATTCAATGCAAGGGATGGCCGTGTCCCTGGGCAGGAGTGCTCCATGTAGTTCTGCAAACTAGGAAAGGAGGTCGAACATTCGTTACAACAGACCGTTCTGCTGGGAGACTGCGAGATGGCACCGGATGGGTCAGCACTTTCAGACATGCATTCATTAAACGAGCCACTCAGAGTTTCCAGAGACCCGTGGCTTTCCATGTTGGGATGCTCCATGTTGCCAGACTGGTCAAGGTGGAGAGCACTGTTGAGATCAGTCCATTTTTGGTTCGCAGGAACGATGCACCCATTGTCCTCTCCAGCAATGACAGGAGCATCACACCCTTCCATGGCGAGATCTGCACGGAGAGCTCATCGCACCCAATACGGCTCCAACCTGCAGTAAAAACAAAAAAGAAAAAACCCATCAGACGAGGTGAAAGGCAAAATAAATAAAACTTATGGTGTTAAGTTGTGTGAACACATTATGTAAACACAGTCCAATGGTAGATATTGTCTTATCTGTTCGATAATTGGACAAATCTGTGTCAGCAGTGAACTCATTCTTATGGAAGTCAGGAGGCAGCCAAGCCAAAAGGCAAGAGTCTTAAGTAGCCAAGTAACATGTCATACCGCAGACCTTAATAAGACAATATTTGACCCTGAGATGGCAGAAGAATTAAAGTTCCTTACAAATCCATCACCTTTGTTCAAAAAACAGAAGGCCTGTGTCCGTTTTTTTTAATGCATGGCAGAATGGTAGATCAGATCAGGGGGGTTGTTTTTGGATGATGGAGCTTATTTAGTAAGGTTACTTTGTAACAAGCCTTTATATTTGTATTAAACATGATTGGGCCAATCACAGGACGCGGTAGCAAGTGGTCAAAAATTAATTCAATAGGCACCTTACTTTACCAAGCTTTTCCTCTACTTGTTAGAACATGTTCTGAGGCAACTTATAGTGCCTGCTGACTCCAAGACTGGACTGGCTGAACACATGGGGGGCAATTTATCAAAACTGGAACAGATGGAATCTGGAGCAGTTGCCCATGGCGACCAATCAGCATCTCTTTAGTTTGCTCAGGTAAGATTTGAAAAGGAGACAGAGAAGCTGATTGGTTGCAGTGCAAATCTGCTGCAGTTTTGATAAAATTCCCCCCACTGTATATTAATGGATTAGGTCTATGGAGTAAAATGTCAGGACATCATAGAATAGGGAAAACAGCAAGTAATAATGTATGTATGTATATAAATGTATATGTATTTCAAACAAAATATAAAACAAAAACATGTAGAATCCATAAAAGGAAAAGGAACCAAATAACTGCAATAATGGTGACTTAAAAAAAACCAAGATGTTTCACTAGCTTGCACTCTGCAGTGGATTTTTTTTTTTTTTTTTTTTTTTTCAAGGTACACAAAAAACTTTGTAAAGAATCAAACAAAACGTTAAAGGGTTACTCTACATGAGCCAGAACAAGACACACAGGTTACCCGACACGATTACACCTGGGAGGAAGTGAGGAGGGAGTGGGCATGCTTTGTTGCGGGCTGATTGACAGCTCAGTCCAGCAGTGCTGGCAAGGTTAGCAGGACGGGAGGGTTAACAGGCTAATTGTAAAATCAATGCCATAAAAGCTTGGTAAGTTCCAGGAAGCTGTGGGAAGGGGAGGTAGTGAGAAGAGAGTAACTCTTCGACTGGGCGCTAGGGACTTGTTCATCAATACAAACCCGTCGTGCTCCCTCGGCCAAGGAGAGAGGGGAAAAAAAATAAAAATAAATCTAAAATTAAATCTGGTCCACATCTATAGTAACCCAAGAAAAACCCCCCAGAGCTAAATTGTTCTAATGAAGAAAAAAAACCCTCCAATAATAGCAAAAGAAAAATATAGGGACCCAAAGACCATTTGCTTGATACATAAACGCACAGCATTTTCATGCAATGTGGAAGCGGGGTATCCACGGTGTTCCTGAATGGACCTACAAGCCCTCGTGTCTCAGCGGTGTGTATGTTTGCTGATATGTTAGCTGGCTTTCTATACTGCTCCCATCTCCCAGCTCTTAAGCTTTCATCTCACTCTGATTGTCAGTCAATAGGAGAGAGGCAGCTCTTACTTAAGGAAGCAGAAGTCAAACTCCACTGGTCGATCAGCACTCTGTCTATAAACATGTTTTCCCGTAAAATCAATGACCTCCAATCAGAGTGCGGATGTTGAAGGCTGCCTGTTCCCAAGCTGTGTGTTCTGCTCAAAGCCAGCTGCATGCCCTCATTGGTGGCTTGTGATCGCTGTGTGCCCCAGAGGCAGCAAAACAGTGTCTGGCCAGCTGCTGTAGAACTACAAGTTCCACAATCTATATTGCATCCATAAAGTGAGAGCATCATGTTCAATTCAGGAGCCATCAAGGCACTTGGAAGCTACATTTTCTGTGCAATGTGACTAAAGCGTCTCTGGGTATTCTGCAAAATATTCCTATTGCTTTAAATGAGAAAAAGGTTTATACACAAAAATGATCTTGAATGCTGAAAGCAAAGAAATGCTGCCAGATTCATTTTTGGCATCTTTAACATTAAGGAGTCTCTCCAATGGACATACCTGTGCTCAATCTTGTCTTTTTGTTTTTTATTCATGGGATGCATTTTACAAAACAGGAAGCACAGTAACATTTTTACAGCCTGTATAAAGACTTAAAACACTGGTGCTCAACCTGCAGCCCGAGGACTACCTGCAACCGTTTGGTATTTGGTGTGGGGCCCTTGGACCCCAGCAGTCTGTAGTGGGTGCATTTATTTGTAAGGGGATAATAGCAGTGATCTCTACTAGCCCCATGTAACATGTCCAAGACTTCTGCAACATGTCGTTGGCCTCCAACCAAGCCTGTAATGTGTCCACAGACTATGGCCATCATTACCTTTAAAAATGTCCCCGACAGTCCTCTCTACTATTACATATACTGAATTATATGTGGCCCTTTAAATGATGTGAAGGGCTGCAGTTGACGCTCCCACATACAGCGACCCTGCACACATTTGTAGGAAGACCTGTAAAAGCATACAGACGCATGCATTATGATGTGATTTAGCGACATGCATTTGACGTCAGTAGACACATTTTGGCTAGCGGCTATACGTTTCCCTTCACCGCAATGCATTTCTCAAATGCACCACAAAAAGACATACATTACGTTTATTTAGGACATGTCTACGATCACCTGCCCTGACCTTCCACAAATAAGTCTAGACGCAGGGAGAATTCAGGCAGTCGCCTGAATTCTCCCTGCGTGTGCTGCCACATGGAAGAAGAAAAAAAAAAAATGAAGTATTTTTAGAAGCATTACAATGCAGCAAAAACTGTCCAGAGACTGCAGTAGTGTAGTGCCAGAAAGCCAGTGCTTCTACTAAGACAAAGTTGTAATTTTCTTTAGGCTGCCCGGGATATGTCTGGCATTTAATACGCCATAGCACGCTGGGATCTGTAGTTCTACAATATCTGCAGAATTGCATCCTCTGCCATTCAGGAAGAGGGAGGGGCTTTTAGAAGTTGGTATCTGTCACAAAAACTCTTGCAAGAGAACGTGTCCATCACTTTATCAGAAGATCATTAAAAGGATTGTTTGATAATCAATCTTCATCCGATCACATGGTGCGAAAGCTGCGCGAGCCCCTTGGATGTCTCTTCCCACCCCCAACCCTCCTTTGAATCCACTTTTAGACCCCCAAACATTCCACCATTATTTGCTAGTACACCTATTCCTAAAATCAACATTTCCCGTTCTAAACATTCCAAATGGAATTAAACTTGACCCAACAGTTCTCTTGTTGGACTCTCTCCACAATCCCATATGCAGACCAATATTTAATATAAATCCAGTGTAATGTTCATTGTATACCAATCACAATCTGTTCTGTTAGCTAAACATAACTGGCGTGCGCAACTTTAGCCTTTATGAAACTTAAATAAAATTAGTTTGAAAGCCTTTAGGAAAAACAAAATCCTTTTAAAAACAGCAACCAGGCAACTTACAAAATATTTCTTTTGCTACAGCAAGTCACAGATAAAGAGTATTCATCTGCTTGTAAATCAAAAATGGTGTCAGCTAGAAAACAAAACACTGCTCTGCACACATTGATCTGCGTCTCTTCAGAGGACAAAGTTGTTTTGGAGAGAAAAAACAGGCTATTTTTTTTTTGGGATACTCGGCATAAAAAGAGAAGAAAAAAAACCCACTTCCTGTAATTAACAAACTGAGTGTTACAATCTTCATTCCCGATATGCAAGCTGACGCACATATTCCCGCTGGGCACACACGTGTAGCACTCGGTGGCAGAGTGCCAGGCAAAGAAACGCAATAGCCAAGACAGGAGGAGGAGGAGGAATCATGCCACCCCAACGTCCTTAGGATTTAATCTGAACGGCGGCACTGTGTAATCTGAAATTGTTAATTAGAACTTGGTGGCCATTTTTTTTTTCTGGTCTCAAATTATTTTAGAATGCAACTAGAAATATCAAACACAGATATTGTCATGAATTTTTGTAGGAGACGGAATAAAAGTTGAAATTGAATAGCCCATCGCAACCGAAATACCTGCTTTGTTTTAACACTCAGGAAAAATGCCAGATGGAATATTATTCATCATGGTCGGGGTTTCCTTTCCGTTGGTTATTATGTCAACGCTGGAGCCCGATTTCACCAGAAACAAAAAAATGGTGCTAGTGGTAGCCATAGGTGTCCCTCCAAATCAAAATGCAAGCTTAATTCTGACTGCCTGCTACTCTTGAATAATAATTTTAAAAAAAGAAGAAGAGCGAGAGAGCGCGCGAGAGAAAACAAATAAAGAATTTATTTCCTTGTAGAGAAAAGGAACATAACACCCTCTTAGATTGTAAGCCCTCAGGGGCAGGGCCCTCCTTACCATCTTGTCTTGTGATTGTAATGTCTTCCTTATATTGTAAAGTGCTGTGCAAACCGCTGGCGCTATATAAATCCTGTATAATAATAATAATAATAATAATAATAAATATAATTTGCTAAAGCTACCATGTCCCCAAGTCATGTGACGTGTGCATTTTAATCAGGTAATCCAGAGATCCTTCGTTTGATTTCAACTCCGCTTTGTTGATCGGCTACGGCAGAATTTTGAAGATCGCCTATGATCGTTTACCTCTATAGCTAATATATCACATTTGGGTCAATATATTCAGTCGATTGCAAAAAACGCAGTACAACACTAGGTGTATGTCGCATTGCTCGATATTTAAATTGATGATAAAATGCCCGCTTGTGATCTCTGTAAAATAGATACGTGTACAGCCATCTTGCCCTATTTGAAAGTACTGTGATGGGAAAATTCAATTGTAAGCTCCTTCGCCAGCACTAATTGTTCCATATGCA